AAGGTAATAAAACAAAGTGAGAGAAAGAAAAGGACAGCTCATCAACTGTAAGAAGACAAATTGGAAGCAGATGCAGAAGTTTAAATATCTGATAAGTGTTTCAACAGAGGATGGAAATCCAACATCTAAACAAACATTGAACTAGCAAAAGATACATTTCAAAAGCTATTCAAAATGTTGCGAAATAGAGAAAAATTGTTAGAAACAAAAAAGACTGTTAGATTGCGATAAAATACTCATCTTCTCATATGAAAATGAATGTTGGATAGTCTTTCCACAGATGAAGAGAAAACTGGAAGGAATAGAAATGTAGTTCTACAGAAGGATACTGAGAATTTCATGGACAAAGCAAGTAAGCAACGAGGAATGCTTAAAGAAAATAGTAACTAAAAGAACACTTATACTCAGAATCAGGAAGAGATAGCTGAAATTCCTCGAACATATAATGAGGAAGGAAGGCTTAGAAAACTTAACACTCACAGGGCATATTGAGGGCAAGAGAGATGGAAAGTTTATGTGAATGGATGGGGGGAAATGGGGATGTGAGCGTTATTAAAAGGATAAATCACTAAATGCTACAAGGGATAGGAAATTTTGGAGAGCCATGATCACCCATGTGCTGAAGGGACATGGCATATAAAAGACGATTCCAGTCCATTTCAAAATATCTTACCTCAAAAGGCTGAATGCACTTTACTAATATAGTGATTTAATAAGTGTAGCTTAAATGTGGTACAAGTCCACAATTATAAAGTATCCATTGAGGATCAAACTCACTACTCCGTCGTAATTGTTATAGTGAGACAAACTTGCTAACCATTACACCATGTCGAAGTGCCCCATTATAATAATAAATTCGCACAATACTATCATAAGTAAGCTAAACGAAGTCAAACCTGCTATTGTATTCACATATGAAAAAGAAACAAATAACACCTTACCTTTTCTTGTTATTCTATTAATTTGATCTGATACCAGATTAAAAATTTAAATTAAAATTGGTGTCTACTGTAAGTCTACAAATAAAATCAACCTGGTGAAGTTTTTTCTCACATCACAATAAAATAAAATCTGGTATAATAATAAAGTTTTATTTAAAAAAAAAAACTTTAGAATTTGCAGTCCTGAATGAGATAGATATTAACAAACTGAGATAGATAGAAAGATAGGCAATAATTTTATATCAAAATGCTAATCAACTACTTTTCAAACCAAGCAATTAATACTTAAATTTTCAAATTCAATAGTGCTTACCATATAACGAACGCTCTGAAAGTAATACCTCTAATTTTATTATATGGCCCATAACATCAGGGGTGATAATGGCAGCAAAAGGTACCAATAATTTGTTTTTGCTTTGTTACAGCTGGGAGGGAGTCTGGCAGAATAGGTGTCTACAAAGCAAGGTTTATCATTGAATTTCTCCATGCAAAAAAAAAAACAAAAAAACAAAAAACAAACAAACAAACAAACAAACAAAACAGACATTCACCGACATTTTATGGAGATCAAACAGTTGATGTTAAGTCATTGGTAAATGCATTTAAGCAGTGATCCCAACAGGTCACATTCAACAGCAGAACATATAAGCACTTATTCATGGTGAAATGAATAAACAATACTGGTGACTATGTGGAACAATAATGTTTTATATTTAAAGACTTACTTCCAACAGTGTTATTGTTCTCCTTGTATCAATTGTAGTATCCAGATATTTTTTATGAATGTTTGTTCAATATAAGGCCCAAGAGCCACTCAAAATAGAGGATTCTGAATGAGGTGTGTGATATGAAAGTAAGAGGAAGTAAGATTATGAGGATCTTGAAGAGGTTATTATTGAATTATTTAGGAAAGCATCTAATAGCAGTTCTTGGGAAGAAGCTTTCTGAGTGTAATATTCTTCTTACTAATGAAATATATAGGAAATGAATGTGATTCAACTTTGTGGATGTAACAGGTCTTGACTGTAAAGGTTGGATCTGGCGGAGCATGTTTAAACATTTCCCATGGAAGCAGTGATAGGTTTGCAACATTGCATCCATGGAGAAAGGATGGAAAATAAGTCACACCCCCGCCACAAGGTTATATAAACACTTTTGAAATGTCAAGTTGGAAAATGAAGATTGGGCAGCTCCCTCCAGATATGACAGAAATACTCAATTTATGATCTGATCTGACTCTTGTAAGATAGTGCATGGCAGAAGGAGTAAGACTTTTCAAAGCAGTATGAGGAGCGAACCATTTTTACATCTTGAAGAAAAATAGTAAGTCTCCTGTGTGTCGGTGTTGAGTGATGTTAAAAACCCAAATTTAAATGAAAAATTAAATTCTCAATTAAATTAAGTTTTACCCGTATACGATCTTAAATTAATATATTTAAATTATAAATATATTAATACACAGGACTTAAACTGCCGATTTCCTTCTCGGCTTCTTCATAAGAAAGTAACAACAAAACTTCCCAATGAAGCAGACGATCTTAAAATTATTAGATAAAAACAACTATTTACTGTTCACAGATAAATATTTATTCTTTAAAATAAAAAATTACATGCATATTGTTCCATATGCTAAGTGGGTAACAAACAAAAATAAACAAAAGGTTTTTTACTTACATAAATAATGTCAGTTTAAAAATATCATTCTATAAGCCGACAACTCAAACCTATTTTTTCTTTTTCAACTTTTTCTTTACAATAAACAAATCTTGTTATAACATTTTTTAACAGTCAATTCAATTTCTTCAGATTCTTTTGTTCTTTCTTCTTTCTTCAAATATTTCTTTTTCTTTTTTTGAAACTCTCACAAAGTGTAAATTATAAAACACAAAAACCTAACCTAGTCTAGGATCTTAAAATCTTCTTAATCCATGAAGAATATCCTTTAAAATATTTTAATTTTAAATCTTATTTTAAAGTCAAGAATGTGAATAGGGGCAGAATTCCCCGCATCGAACGACTCCGGCAAACAGAAAGAAACGTTGACTCTCTGAGTTAACAAACAAATAAATCAAATGAAATAATTCCCCTTCTAGGAAATTAAATTACTTCTTTTAATTTCGGAATTCTACCGAAGCTAAGAAAATTTTCTCTTCAAAGTTTCACAGATTTAAACAAATCTCAGCTACGGAATTCTACCGAAGCTAATAAAATTTTCTCACAAAGCCCTTCGATGCGAAAACTCACCCTCCCCTAAATAAAACCAGTAATATAGCTATTAAAAGCTAAATAACTCTATAAAGGTAAATAATTCGATATTGTAAGTCAAATTATTAAAGATAACACTTCATTTTACGTGGCTAACTAAATCAGTTAACCACGGAGCCAGAATAAAAAACGTCTTAAACGACCGAGGATAAATATCTGACTGAGGATAAAATCCTCTGATAAAAAAGGAATTGACTGCAGCTTCGTATTCCAAGAAAATGAGCGGCAACAAAAATTATCGTCTGTTTTGCCATCAGACGTATATTATACAAAATATCAATACATCATAGTATTTTACCACTAAAGTTATTGAAAAGATCTTCTCACTCTCTCTAATATTCTAAATTTCTGTAAATAAAATTTTCCAAAATCTTCAGTAATGTATTTTATACACGAGTTCCATTTGGGGTTTGGAGTGAATTGGAGTCCCAACAGACATTCAAAACAAGGAGCCTTATTGAGGGCAACCATTCATCATAACTGGAAAACAATTTAGGGTCTGCTCAGTGATGGTGAAACACTACCAGCAGGATTTTTGAGGTATTAAAAGTTTTTCTCCCATTGAGCTGTTAGAGTTAGGTCAGAGTAGAGATCAGGTACCAGGCTCTAATCATCTTTGGAGAGACACTCATAAACTGTGATACCATCTGCATAGATATTTACCATTGATCTGAGAATGTTCCTAGATAGATCATTAAATATAAAGCATTATTTATGGAGGTGCCTCTACCATATAAACAATTTTATCAACAATTTTACAGCATTTGCCATTTCTTCTGTTTTTGGTCAGTAGATAGCATTAGGAGTAGTTTTAATTAACTTTATTCAGAAAGATCAATTTTATTGGCAGTTTTCATTTACTGATTCTTACACCAAAAATAGAAAGCAACATTCTCTACATTAAAAAAAAGTAATATTTATAGAAATGGTACTGTCAATGAATGGGTCAAAAGTGGAGATTTCTTGTTCAATGAGGCTTTATGTTCAACTTGACTACTTAATAATGCTGAAAATAATAATGTCATTGTGACGAAAGACATGACTTACTTCAGAATTCGAAACGAGCGCGAACGTCTCTTACTTACAAAGTAATGACAAAAAGAAATATGGCGGCTATTGAAGACGCAATTTATGCACGCCGATCTCGTCCAAAACGAGACTATATTTGCACACATGCAAATTTCGGCCGTATTAGGACAGCATAAAAAGGGAGGTGCCAAGAGCACAGGGAAATGGGGGAGTCATTCGGTGAACTGCGTGCAATAGAGCTGGACGTGCGAACTGACAGACGAACAAAGAGGAAGTCGAAGTAGGCGCGTCTGAGTTTGGTATCTGTTTCACAACTGCTCAGTGTAACGGCTGAGAAAGAGAGACACGCAATCCATTTCCTTGAGGCGACCGAAGAAGAAGAAAAAACAGCTGGCCTGCCGGCGAGTACTGCACTTTTCTACTCCCCTCATCACTATTATTTTTCCTACAAGCTATTTCGGCAGTTATGACGAAGGTTCGCATAAGCGGCGACGTTATAAAACCATTTTCCGGCCAGGACGATGTGGTGGCGTGGCTAAAAAAGGTCAGGCTGGTGGCAAGACTTCAGCAGGTGGACGATGTGGCTAGCCTGCTGCCATTGTACCTGGAAGGGGACGCACTAGGCATCTACATGGAAATGGAGGAGAAAGGTCAGAGTGATGTTGATCAGATCGAAGCCACGCTGACTGAGGCGTTTAAGGACGACGCGTTTTCAGCGTACAGAAAACTGACCATGGTTAGGTGGACCGGCGAACGTGTGGACGGCTACGTGAACAAAATCAGGTAGCTTATTGGATTGGCCCGAGGGCGCTGAAAAGGCGTTTGGGGATTCTCTGATACAATCTCCATTGAACGACAGGCACCGAATCTTGAAGCTCTGACTCTGGGGAGTTTTTTAGCAAGAGCGAGTGTGCTGACAACAACCGGAGATGAAAGTGGACCATGGTTGCGCCCACCCTGTAGTGGACGCGCGAATCGTGTGACTTGTTTCGGGTGCGGCAGCAAGGCCCCATAGCTACGCAGAACACGCTGATCGATGTGGGAGGTTAGACAGGCAGGAAAAACGCTATCAGCACCAGCCTTTTCCCCAACCAAGATGTAAATACGGCGCCCGGTGGCAAACATCCTTGTCGACGGAACTTGGTGTTCAGCGCTGATTGATACTGGCTGTTCACGGACGATTGTGGACGCAGATCGGTGCCGGTCTTGGAAGTGAGTGACGGTGGACTTTATGACTATTGGAGGCATGTCCCGTCCATGTTGCGGTGTAGGAACGGTAACCGTATCCACGGAGGAACACGGTTCTGCCAAGATTAACGTGTTGGTGGTGCGTGGTAAACAACTGGGATTTGACCTGCTATTGGGGATTGATGCCATAACAGCATTGGGAGGCGTTGCTGTCAGGCCAACGGGACAAGTACAGATTGGCAATGGATCCGGGCCACTGATTGGTGCCATCAATGTGGACGAACTGGACGCAAATTAAATCGTCCATCCACAGGAACAGTGGTCGCCCAGAAGTGCGGCGTACTACCTACTTCTCCAGGAGAGTCTGCCCGTCAACGACAAAAGCGTCCGTTAGATCAGCTATACGGACGTGTGAAGAACGCCAGTCTATAGACCCCGCACCAACTCACTGGGAAAAAGGAAAGCTTGAGGTAAGCGGGAACTGGCAGAGATTGCAGATGGATATCACCCACTATGAAGCCCATCATTTGTTAACGCTGAAGCCGTCGCGTTTTTCAATCTGGAAGCAAATGGCGAGACAGGACTCAGCGGCCGTGATTCGCCAGCTGAAAGCAGTGTTCTTTGAGCGGGGCCCACCCCACGAGCTCCTCACGGACAACGACCCAGTAGGGAATTCAGAGCCTTTGCGCGCGAGTGGGGAGTCAACTTGTAGTTCCATTGTGCATATGTCCCAGCTGGGAATGGGATAGCAGAGTGATGCCACTGCACAGTAAAACAAATCGTGTCCAGGATGCGCTTTTAAATCCAGGAAACCATCTACTGGTACAATGTCGTACCAAAAGACAGTACATCACCCCAGACTGCGCCCGCCAACAGGACCCACCGATATGAACTGAGGGTGAAAGGGGTTGACGCCCCGACGATGTCTTCAGACCCCGGGCACGGCTCTTACCAGGTCGGAGATCGCGTGTGGGTCAAGGCGCGAATGAGTCAATGCACCACCAGGTTCAACAGGGGTCGGGTAACGAAAATAATCAACCCGCAGTCATTTCTGGTAAACGGAATACCCCGCCACGTTAAGGATCTGCGCCCGCGCCACGGTTTCAGCGCGTCCGAGGAAGATGCCGATGACACATCTGAGAGCGGAGCAGAAAGTTTGCTGGTTGACGAGGAAAGTGCCGAGTGCGTCAATCCACACAAAGAGGAAGTAGAAGCAGAGCTCCCCTCCGACAATCCGCCCGAAGAGGGAGCAAGAGCAGAGCCCCCTCCCGGCTTTTGCGAAGAAGCACCCGTCGAAAACGACCGTCGCCGCGCTGCCACCTTTGTGATCATGACATCAGGGAGGGGTCTGACGAAAGACATGACTTACCTCAGAATTCGAAACGAGCGCGAACGTGTCTTGTAATGACAAAAAGAAATATGGCGGCTATTGAAGACGCAATTTATGCACGCCGATCTCGTCCAAAACGAGACGATATTTGCACACAAGCAAATTTCGGCCGTATTAGGACAGCATAAAAAGTGGGGTGCCAAGAGCACGGGGAAATGGGGGAGTCATTTGGTGGACTGCCTGCAATAGAGCTGGACGTGCGAATTGACAGACGAACAAAGAGGAAGTCAAAGTAGGCGCGGCTGAGTTTGGTATCTGTTTCACAACTGCCCAGTGTAACGGCTAAGAAAGAGTCACGCAATCCATTTCCTTGAGGCGACCGAAGAAGAAAAAACAGTTGGCCTGCCGGCGAGTACTGCACTTTTCTACTAACCCCAAAACATCACCACTGTTTTTCCTACAGTCATACAAATTGGGAAAGACTATCAATATACTCATAATATCCCAATCAAGCACAGAAAGTCATTTTGCATTAGTTTGGTCATGTTCATCATTTTGACATATCCTTTGTAGATTAGAGAAAAATTCTACCAGATAGTAAATATGCCATTTTGTAAATAATGTGGAATGCCAGATGTTATAGGTTAAGCAAAATGAACCATTACAAATTCTACCAAAGACTGGTCTTCATCCAAATACGATGATGCTACGTATATGGTAAGACTAGAAGAGAGTCTTCGGTTACATGCTCTTTTCAGACAGCTAAAAACATACTGCTCCCAACTGAAGGAATCCCTCAATGAAAAAAAAAAAATCAAGAATTAGTTAAGAGAAAAATTATTATATTCCATCAGAATAATATAAGATAGCATATTTCTCTAACAACTAAGGAAAAATCACTTCAGTTTGGCTGGGGTTGTCTTCACTCATATCATATTCAACAGATATAGCACATTTGAAATAGCATTTATTCTAGTATTTAACAAATTGTGTTAGTGAAAAGAATCAATTCCCTGGAAGACTGCAAAAGGAATCTAGAGCAATTATTTGGTGAGAAATAAAATGTTGTAAGAAGTTGGAATTATGAAGTTGTCTGAAAGTCAGCAGATGATAATTAAAAAAATATAGTAAATCTGTTGTTAATTAAGATTTATGTAAAAGAAAAACAAAAAAAAACGTATTTTATTTTTACTTCATCTTCAGTTACTCAGTATTTACTTGCTTAAATTCTCTGTTAGTTCTGGTCACTTACTACAATGTAAGGGCAGGTAATTCATACGCGGTAGATTGGGACACAGATACATACATTTTTAAGCAAAACGAAAATTGTAACAGCTTTAATTAATGACAAACAAGATGACTATAAAATATCTCTATTGAAAGGTTAATCTATAATTTGACAAAATATGACTTCATTCCTTTCTCAAGATCTTGTCTTTCTGATTATTATCAACAAGATTTTCTGTATAAAGTGTTAAAAAACACAAGGAAGTCTATAAAGCAAGTTCATATTTTTACATATGCCCAACTATGAAAAGTGTTTTATCAAGTTTGAGAAATTTACCAGGATTTATTATCACCAACAATAATTTGTCTCATATACTAATCTCATTAATGTATATAAGGCATTTGGGTGAGGGGGGGGTCAAGCATTAACCTAAAAACTCAAGTCATGTTTTTAAATAGCTTTGTTAGATTGAGACTTTCATATCATTCATGGAGCCAAACTTGATCAGAAATATCAAAACTCAGCTGTACACAACTGTTTTTTCAGACTGATAGTGAAGGGTGGCTTTGAGTAAATGCAGTTTGTAGGTTTTTCCAAGGACCATCCTTTTTCAAACTGTGTGGACTGGTGCTACAGAACCACAAAGGACTTTACCAAATAAGAGAAACCACATATGAAGACTTTCAACAACAGCAACAACTAAAATGAATAGGGCATGTAACTTGAAGAGAAAATAACAACAACCAAGATGTCGACATTCAACACTACTTCAAACAAAAAGTTTAAGAAGGAACTATCATTAATACAGAAAAGAGCAATAACCTGGAAAATCCTATTTTCCTGAAAAATTCTTTTATTAATGATTTTATAAATTTAAGCTGAAAATATTACTGGCAACTCAGTCAATGGATGCTGATGTTTCCTTATAAGGAAACAGCCAATACTACCATTACCATCCATCACTAATCAGCAGTCTAGCACTAATTTTCACAAAGATAATTTCAGATTTCTGAAGATGCGACATTAACCTGCCATTGTTTTTTTTTTTAGCCTTTTTCAAACATTGTTTAGGCATTTATAGTTTATTTTTTGTGTATTTTTATTCTAACCTGTTGAAGTTTGGCTTCAGTCATAAACCCAATGAATACAAGAAGTGCTTCCATTGATGTGAAGAACCAACACCATTATGCTGTCTAGAACAGATAAGGTTGAACATCAGAAAAAAATTTGATAGCAACATATCTATGTGAAGTTTGTGCAATGGATACAAGCATTGTCTCATCTATAGATTGACAAAAATCAGTAATCCAACAAAATCACTTACCTGGCATTATACAGGTCCCAATGATACTAGATTGGTGATGGTCAACTTTGATCTCAGTAAAGATACAACCACACATCACTCTTTAGCAAACCTCAATCAAAAAAATTAGATCTTATGTTTCTAAGAGTCTTCATCAGGAGCAAATTTTATAATTAATGTTACTGTGTTGGAGGGGACAAAAACTGTAGCAAAAAAAAAAAAAAAAGCTCAGGGTGATCCATGACCCCACTCTTGGAATCTCTAAAAATTAGGCATGTCTGCTTCATTTTGTGCCCTGTCTTGTCTGAAAACAATGAACTGATTCCAGCTCTGAAGATCCATTGTGTGGTTGTTAATTATTCGGTGAAGAAATCATGTCAAGTAGGTTCCTTTAATATCAAAGACTGCATATTTACAAGACAAATTTATGAACATACCATAGAGTATATATATATATATATATAAAACATTCAAGAAATTCATTAATGAAAATATTCTTAGTAAAACAAAAATATCTTTGTCATTATTTTTTTAACTAGACTAACTCCTACATTTTTCTGACCAAAATTAAAAAGCAATATAATTATCTGATAAAACACTAGAGAGTAGCAAATATATTTTTTGTTGGTAGTTTAGCTTTTCTCTAAAGAAAAATTCCCAAGCCAAATATATTACTACTGCTCGTCAAATACATCCTTCCAATTAATGATGACAGCCTATTCAATATAAAGGTATATTAATTTATTTTTAATATTGCTAAATATTATTCATGAATTTTTTTTTCTCATTATTAATATTTCATGTAAGTTGAAAAATAGAAATTGAAAAAGAATTAAGAAAATGTAAAGCAAAATGAATCTTATTGGGAAACAATAATGAAGACAAATCTGCAAAGGAATTTCTACCCTAAAATAAAACATAATTATTATTGATATTTTTAGTACATACTGGAGAGGGGTCAATAAGGGTCATGAAGGAGTTACTGGTCTGAAATAGTTGGGGGATGCTTGGTCTAAAGCCATATGTGGCTTAATTCATTTGTATTTCAATTTTGATTTTGTCTAATCCCCTGTCTTCTTTCCCAAGATGAAAATCAGAAATTAACACCACACACAAAAAAAGCATTTTTATTAATATCTGATTGAACACAATAGCATTGTTTAAGTGTAAATCATAAAACTTTCTTTTGGTTTTTGTTGTTGTTTTATTTTTCACTCTGTTTAAAAGGTTTAATAACACTGGCTGTAAATTTCAAACCTTTTAATTCCATGTTGACAATATAAAGCACAAAACATAAAGAATAAACATAGAAAACATTGGCTGATGATGATAGCCACAGCCTATCACAGCATGACCGTATACACACAGCACAGGTTGCATGGTGGACAGACTTGTTACTTCCAAAATGAAAAGAATTGTAGTGACACTTTGCTCTCAAATGACATCCTTAAGATTCAGATACAATGCATACAATTCATTTTTTTAAACTTATTTTTAATTTAGCTACTATCTAATTTCACTTATAGGGTGAGTTGGAAGCCTGAATAACATCTCACATGTTCCCAGATCACTTAGAAAATGAATTAGTGGCTTAGTGGTTAAAGCAATGGACAGAAGCTATGAGGGCCAAAGATCAGATCAAAATTCTGAGTAGGTGAGGTTCTTTAATAAAAATCCATCTGAAAAATTTCCTGACATCCAAATCCGTGCTGATGTGAATCTTAAGCTCAGAATCTCACAGTAAACAATGACTCTTTTATTGATTATGCTGCAAAAAATCTTTTAAACAAATTGAAAAACAACAGGTAGGAAAGTGGGAATGGACATAGTTGTTAGAAACTTTGTCAAGACACATCTTATAAATAGTTATTAACAGTGCTGGCAAACCACTTAAAGTTCAACAAGCCACAAGATTGAGTAATAAGAAAAGAAAAAAACTGACACACTGATCTGCATCTGACACCCTTTATCATTTTCTTTGTGTTTATATTTGGTAATGACTTTTTTTTGTCAGGAGGGTACGCAAAGGTTTAATATTTATGTGACGTTGGATCAAAAAGTTCCGTGGCTAAAAACATTATGGTTGCTCAAAATCTGCACCGACTTTAGCAAACAGACAAAAATATTTAAGTATGTTGTGAAAAAGTATTTCTGGGACAAACTATTAAGGAATTTCAAATTAATGAAGCTGAATTGATCAAGCAAATTTAACTGCCAACCACTAAACGAAATTTGCTACAAAAATGATGTATTTTTTTTAATTTAGATTTTGTTACAAAAATGGCAATATTGCATCTATTTATGACTTGTTCAATCGAGATACAGCTTAAATTTAAAATTGGAAACAAGTAAAATAATTTATTTTAGAATTCTCTGACTGTAACAATTTCTTCACAAGGTCTTGAACTTTTTGATCCATCATCATAAATGGTCACATCTTAATTGAAAATGATTATGAAACTCCAACCATGTCATTAGTGAGTAGATAACTCATATTGAATAAAATCTGATTAGTATGGATGTGGGTGTGCTTCTTCAGTTGAGAACTTGTTGTGAATGCCTTCTCACAGATGTTGCAGGTATAGGGTTGTTCGTTGGTGTGAGTACGTGAGTGCCGCTTCAAGTGAGAACTGTCTGTAAACTGTTTGTTGCACACATCACATACATATGGCTTGTTGTCTGAATGGATGAACTGATGACGTTTCAGATGGGTTGAGGTAGAGAAGGTCTTTTCACACACAGGACACTTGTATGGACGGTGATTTGTGTGTGTGTACTGGTGTCTTTTCACATGCGACATGTCTGAAAAGAACTTGCCACAAATATCACAGCTGAATGGCTTCTTGTTATCTGAGTGTGTACGATCATGTCGTTTCAAGTGGGAGCTGTCTGTGAAACCCTTGCCACAGGTTGAACATTTGAATGGGCGTTCATTGGAATGGATACGAATGTGTCTCTTCAGGTGAGAGTTGTCACTAAAAGACTTGCAACAGACAAAGCAACTGAAAGGTTTATGATCTGAGTGTGTCTGAACATGGCGTTTCAGGTGTGAACTGTCCACAAAGGACTTGGGGCATTTTTCACATTTAAATGGCTTTTGGTCAGAATGGACCTGGACATGCTTTTTGAGCTGTGCATTGTCAGTAAAACTCTTTCCACAATCAAAACATGAGAACAACTTCTGTTTGGCATGTGTTTGAGCATGCCTCTTTAAATGAGAACTATCTGGAAATGATTTGGGACACAAGAAACACTTATACGGTTTATTAGCCATGTGAGTCTGGGCATGTCGCTTCAGGTGGGAACTGTCCGCAAAACACTTAGAACAGGAGTCACAGGTAAATGGCTTTTCATTTGAGTGTACACGAAGGTGTCTCCTGAGGTGTGATCGGTCAGTGAACTGTTTTGAGCAGACTTCACATTTGAAAGGTTTCTCGTTACTATGGGACCAGGCATGGCGCTTCAGGTGGGAACTGTCTACAAAGGCCTTGCCACAGATAAAGCAGGCATATGGCCGTTTGTCAGTATGTGTCCACATATGTCGCTTCAGGTGGGTGCTGGTTAGGAATGCTTTAGGACAGAGATTGCATTGGTGTGGACGTTCAGCAGTGTGGGAATGCATGTGACGTTGTAGCAACACACTGTCAGAAAAGTGCTTGTGGCAAATTTCACAGATGTGCGACTTGTTTTTTGGTGAAGGTGGGGGTGCCGGTTGTCTCTCTTCATTCTCGGCATGTCTTTCATCCACATGGTATTGCAGCAGAGAGACAAGTTGGAAACTCTCTTGACAAAATGGACAGATGTGCTCTGGCTTTTCCTCTACTTCATCAGTATGACCTTTGTAGTCAGAGCCAAACCTGGACGGATCATCAACCACCTGACCTGACTTTATATCAGTATCTCCTCCTGACTGAGTAGCAATTGATGATGGCGAAGAAGAAGATGAGGGTGATGGAGGAGATTTCTGTCCAAGACTGTCGTCATTGCTGCTACTGATGGGATTAAAAATGCCATTAAGGGAAAACCCTTCTTCCTGGTCATGGACATTTTGCAATTGCTCAACTGTGGCAAGAGTAGAGTTGGAGGGTGAGTCAGAAGAAGTGTATTGTCGATGAGAAGAGGAGGAGGAAGAGGAGGAGGAGGTAGTACCATGTGACCTTGTTGTATACTGCTTCTCAGTATCATGTGTCTTCATATGAACATCTAACTGAGAGCTTTTCGAAAAAACCTGCTGACAAATGTCACAAATGTAAAGCCGTTCTGTTGTGTACATTATGGGTTTGTAAAATCTTCAACTTTCTTTTTCTGTATTCAAATTTTGTAAACAGTAGTAATTTTTTTTTTCAAATATATTATTAGTTACCAATAAAGAAAATGACAACAGTTTCACTCATCAGAAACCACAATGTTGTTTTGACATAGAGGACAGAGGTCACAGTAAATGACTAGTAAGTGTTATCAAGAGTACCATATATGAATGTTGTTTTGACATAGAGGACAGAGGTCACAGTAAATGACTAGTAAGTGTTATCAAGAGTACCATATATGAATACTTTTTCCTGGTGTACTTTTTCTTATTATACATTGCTTTTAATTAAGTTAGTTTGAACAGTATATGTTCACCATGTGGTTGGACAAACAGCATGGATTAATTTCCAAGATATACGTAAAAGTGTCACCTTTTATTAGAAAAGGAGTTATAGCAGGCGTATATTCAGCAGTAGAAGAAAAATAAAAATGTCTTTGTGAGTGATGTTTTTGTCATACTAAGTAATTCACCTGAAAAGAAAAGAAAAAAAAAAAATTATGTATAACTGTAACATGAAAATATGTAATACAAAAAAAAAGCTTTAATATTCAATTTAAGCCAACTTGATAACATCCACATAAATCATTTTGAAATATTTCAATACAAAATCAATACATCAAATTATTCTATTATCTATAAAGAATTTTTATTTTTATTCATTCAATTAAAACAGATGAGCATAAAGAAAACAGTTCTGAGTTAGTAGAACTTTCAACTGGAAAGGAGAACTTTAATATCAAATGTCTACATTTTTTTATATAGAAATTAAATTCTATGTATTTTATGTTGCAATTTGCCAATATTCTAAGATTAAAATAACATTTTTGTTCAGCTTGCAAGAACTAAAAATATAATCAATTTTAAATATATATATATATATATATATATATATATATATATATATATTTTTATTGTGTTTCAAACACATTATAAATCCAACACAAGAAAAAATTAAGAAAAAATAAGAAAAAAGTTCTCTATTTCTCGAACAATATTAAATATTAATCTAATATGACAGCAAACATATCTCGAAGCCCAATTCACTAGTTGTAGGTTTTTTAATCCTTCCAGGTTCTCCATGGCTTTGTGTCAAACAGAGCTTAGTAAATAACTAAAATAAATTTATACTATATAAGGCATATTTAATTCTATAATTTTATTTTTGAATAGGTTTTGCTTATTTACACTATTTACATAGTCCAGACTGTTGTCTTCATATTTTGGCTGTTGTACGCTCCAGCCTTCTTCAAGTAGAATTTGAAACTGAATCTTTTATTTCATCCACCTGGGTAGATTGTTCTAGTTCCACATGCCATGACATGTGTATCAGGCCCAGTGGATAGAAGTGTTCGTTGAATCCAGTGACTTAACCCAAAGAGTTACAAGTTCAGTACCTGGCTACAGCAGAGGTGAATAAAAAAAACTTGGAGAGTTGAGTTAAAAGGGAGATAAGTCATACTGATAACTGATATAGTGTAAATGATTACATCTCAGAAATATAGACAGGTTATGGTTATTGTGAAAACAAACCAAAATAATCACAATGAATAATTATTATTAATGATATTGTGCTGCATTCTATATGAGCTTGTGAAGAAGTGTCAGTGGGTTTTAGCAAAATATTTCTCAGAAACTTTAGAATAAATGAACAGAATCAAAATAAAAAAAATAATATATGTTTATTTGACTTTGATTAGAGCAAAGCCCTTTTAATTTGTGTTAGTAAAATTTTATTCAGCTGGGTAGTTGATACTTTACGAGTCAGACTTTGGTAATAGTTGGCAGTGTGTTTACTTTGGAAGACACTAAATACTGTGTTTTATCAGCCCTCATGAAGGGCAGAAAAATGTCTTAAGCATATGACCACTTAGTTTCTTCATGTAACATGATTAGCTGGTTTCTCCAGCTGACTCCTCTCTACTGCTGCCTGTTAGATGTCTCTTTATATACACTTTAAAAAGGCTCCAGACTACTTGGCACGAAGCTTGGTTTCTTTTGATTGGCCAAAATTCTTTTATTTTCCGGCATTCTTTTTCTTTTTATAGCGAAAGTTATGCAGTGAGACTCTTATTTTACTAGATTTCTAGTCACAATAACTAGACCATGGACCAGCAGTTGTTCAGTCTTTTCTTCTTCCTCTTGTTTATATTAGAGTTGTAGTCTCATTAAAAGAGAGAGAGAGAGATGGGGTTTTAAGGAAAGCAAATGCTTTCTTATAATTTGAATTTTTTTAAATATTTTATAATCATATTTGGGCTCACTAAATTCTGAAATACATAGATTTTTTTATCATAAGTTCAGCTTTATTATTTGACATGATCTTTTGCAATGTTTTTTAATAATACTGAAATTCTTACAACAAAATTGTTGAGAAAAGAAAACATTAGTTTGTCTCACACCAACACACACACATAAGACTAGGTGTGTTAGTAGTGTAGCTGTTAGTGGTTCAGAAAGAGAAATTGGCAGCTGAGTCCAAATTCCAGCCAAGTTCCTTACATTCAATTTAACAAAAACCTTCTTGTGAAAAGGGGGAGGTATAAACTCAATCTCTCCCTTAGGAGGGCAAACCGGGCTCTCTGGCCTTGGTTGGCAACCAGTCTCGAAGGAAAACTCTGAATTCAAACTTGAGTAGATCTGTTTGGGGACTTCAAGGTACACTGTGCACCAGACCTCTGTTTATATTTCTTCCAAACAATCCTTTACCACTAGAGTCAAATCATATGTATGGGTTGTCTTACCATTCAGTTCTAATAAAACCTGAACTGTTATGTCAGTTTATACTGACTATCCAACAAGTAAGCTAGTACAAAGCATGGCTGGAAATATTAAAAATAGATTTAGGAAAGATGAAGGGAAAAAGAATTAAGTTAATGAAAGAGGAAGAAAGAATATCTGTTTGAATCATTTTGAAACAGATCAGTCTGTATCTTGATATTTTTATTATAATTACAAATATTCATAATAGTAAATTTTTTTATAATTATTTTGCACAAGAAAGTGAAGAGTGAAAGAGGAGAAATTAAAAAACCAAGTAAAAGATTAAGAGTAGATAGGTTTGCCTGTTGTCTGGTTTACACTCCTTCCAGGTCTTTTGGACAGGAGTAGATGGTGTATCCCTTATTTCCCCATTTGAATTGGGTTTATAGTGCCTTCTAAAGTCTACCTCCACACTATACTTCTACTAATATCTCAGACTGAACTTGAAAATATTATTAATTAAATATTGAACATTTCAAATCTAGAGTTAGCTGTTATCTTTTCTGCAAAGGCCCCAAAACTTCACTTCTTGCTCTTTCTTATGCTAATACAACACCACACAGTAACACTCTACCTTGAGTGGCTCTTGGACCTTGTATTGGGTGAACATCAGTTTGAAAAAATGAATAAGTACATAAACCAAATCCATTCTAACAGAAACATTTTCTTTAAAAAAAAAGTATCAGTAACAGTAACAATGCAAATGTAATATTTTAAATCAAAACAAAATTTTAAAAAATACTAGTGTAGTTATCCTCCTTTCATTCACCAAAAAAATAAAGGGTTTTAAAATTTCAAATTTTCAACTACAACTCATGTATAAAAAAAGAAAATCTTAATTTAATAGATTTTTCCTCTTCTTAACACTTTTGCTCATAAAAAGTCTACTTTCATTGTGAATAATTTTGCCCAGTTTTTATCCACAGGCACCAAAAACAAATTTTTAAAGTATCAGAATAATTATGGTAGAACATAGCGTTAGAACACAAGGAAGTCAGTTCTACTAAAACAAGTTTTATGATGATTGGATGAAATTTGTGGGAGAATTAAAAATATAAAACTAAAAACAAATTAACAGACAACATGAAGCCAATATAGAGAATTGGGTTAAGAAGACTTTTGGATTATGAAATGATTCTTAAAATTTACTTAAAATGAATACAATTATTTAAAACTTAGCAATAATAACATCAAGAATACACTTACTTATTTCTGGCTTTGATCCTTAATTTCCAGATCTATCAAACAAAAAACAATGTTGTTTGCTATTATTCTTTTTGATAAAACCTTCATTGTTCTCATCAAAACTAACATCATTTTACAGTTTTACTGAACTTAAATTCTATCTTTCAATGAAAAAAAGGTTCTTTTTTTTGTTGTAGATTTAAATTAAAGTATGATGTGATTGCTGCTGTTAAGATCGTGAGTCATTTTATGCAGAATATTTTACACGGTTAAGCCAAATAAAACAATACTCAATAAAATCAGAAAAAAGTTAAGCATTATTAAGAAAAAATTAATTAATTTTTTTTTTCATTGACCTTGTTTACCGAGAAATAAAGCGATAAACATAGTTAAATTTTTTTTAAAGATATTCTTGAAATTTCATTATAATCCCAATAGTGGCATTAATGATCCATTTTTAAACAATTAAAGGACAATAAAAATAACAATTTGACAGAGCTTAAAAAAAGTGTCCCTTTCTTTCGACAGGTAACTTAGTCCACTTAAAATTGTCGTCAATCTTTTTTCCCCCCTATTTACTTAACGCTATTTTATTAGCATATGAAAATGCTACAGAGTTAACTTATTCACAAGATACAAGGCAAAAAAAAAAAACAGAAGGAATTTTTTTTTATTATTATTATAAAAGACTTGTTTATGAGCGATGGCTATTTTGTGTGTGTGTGTGTGTGTGTGTCAATTCATATGTCTCTCTCTAGTTTAGTAGCAGGGATTTTTCAACATCTGTCTTTTTAAATTAAATATTTTGTTAAATTAATTGATCATGCATTTTTGACAATTTGTCATCATTTAAACAAACTATATACCCGTCAGTTTTTGTATTGCCTGTAAGTTTTTCATCTAATTATGATGGTGGTTTATTCAGCAAGAGAGCACTTCTGATCGTCTTAATGCATGCTAATGCATATGAATTTTTAAACAGAAAATGACGATTGCGTTTTAACAATTAAAATATAAAT